TTAAGATAAGAACTCATTACTTACTACTGTTAAATGTATTCTTAACATTCTTTTTTGTCAGAAAAATTATTAAAACTCAGAAAATTAAGAACTTTTTAAAAAGTTTCACTTTTGAAATTTTAATTTTGTAATTAAATAATTTTCAAATTTTAAATTAAAAATGAAAAAAATATTAACAAATTTTCTTTTTTAAACTTTCTATATTTAAAAAAAAATTTAACAACTTGATGTATTTTTTGTAATATTTTAAATATCTTGATGCCAACAATAAGGCTTTCACAAATCTAAATAATTAATAATAGCAGCATAATTAATAATAACATATACTTCATTATTCGGCTAGGCCGAATATTCGGCAAAAGGGCTGAATAGGCCGAATACCGAATAGTGGCCGAATATTCGTTACATCCCTAAAAATAATCCTACAAACAAAAAATATCTATTAAAACATGAAATCATTGACATTATTAAAAATATCCATTTAAAGTAAGTAAACAATTAACAGCATAATAAATAACAGCACACATTCTTTCAATTTATTAAAATATTTCGGTTAATAAGTTCAGCAACTTGAGAAAAGACATCCTCAGAAATAAATATTTAGACAACCACCATATTAGAGATAAAACCAGTTAAACCACCCTCCACAGAAAAAAAGTAAAAAAATATTATTTGATGTTTTCCCACATTTTATTAAGAAAATAATAGGATACAATAAGAATTAAGAATACAATAAGAAAATAAGGATACAATAAGAAGTAAAAATTATAAACTAAATTTTAAAAAAATCTCTTTTGTACACATAATGTTTATTTGTCTGTGTTATTTTCTTAATTTCATTCTTATGTGATATTTAAATTACACAGATAAAATTAAATATTGTTGAAGTATACCTAAACTTTTTACAATTAAATTCCAATAAGTACAGTAGCTGAAATAGTCACTTAACAATTGAGTAGAGATTTTTAACATACAAATGACATAAATTTAAAAAAATAATAAAAATAAATAATATTCAATTATGAATTGAAAAGGTATTTAAAAATTTTTAAACCAAACTTACCATTTGCACTTGCATTTTTCATGATGTAAATTGCAGAGCCATCTTTGATAATATCTAACAGAATAGAAGTTGTTTCAAAATTTAAACAAATCAAAAGGAAATATATATATAAAAAAAAGAAGAAGACAAAGCTTGCCAAAACAAACAATTTTCACAAGATGGCACCTCAAAGCAAAATTCAAACCTCAACAAAGGGCAGGCTTAGCAAAACTTAGAAATACAATAAAAGCCAATAATAAGGGATGAAAGTTTTCATTACCAAAATGTTTAGAACAAATGCTCAAATAAGCAAACACCAGTTACAGAACAGGGTTCACATCAACAATGAAGTAAATCATGCAAAAATGCAAGATTTCTGTCACTTCACTATCACCTTCAGTTGTGGTGCTAATATGGAAAAAAATATCCTCTTGGCATTTCATAACCGTTGTTGAACAGCGGACAGAATGCTCAGTTTATGACTATCAATGTTCAACTCTGTATCCTTGTAATTTTGATCCAAATCCAGAAGACAAGGAACTCCTGGATCAAGTATTGGGAGAAATTTGCCTTCATGGAAGACTTCTTGATGGTACTAACTCGCATTTTAGATACATGGAGAGGAAAACCACAAAAACCTTCCACAGTCAGCCTGACGGCAAAGGGACTCTAACCCATGATCCGTCTATCACTGAAGATATTTTATATTAGCACTGTGTGGTTGGTGCAAGTTTTTTGATGTCCCCAGAGAGAGAGAAAAGAAAATTAAAGAAGTCAGATCATGAGATATGGCAGGCCAAAAGATAGGATCGATAGGCCAAAAGATAGGATCAGTCACTCCCTTTTCTTGAAAAGGCAATGCCCAGGCATGGTACTTTCACATGACTATTTTTTTTTCTTCTCAGACTCAAATAATTTCCACACTATATGGTGAAAATTGCTTGTTTTAGCAAATTATTTAACCTTTACAATTCTGACCACTAGTGTTGTTACATCCTATATAAACATTAACCCCAGAAGCAGAAAGTGCCTAAGACTGTGACGTACGTCGCAGAACAAACGAAGTCCTGCAGAACAATTTGTATCTTGAATAAGTGACAGTGTTTTCCTGCGAAAATAATTTATCAATAATTCATCGTCATCAACAAAATTTTACACTTCAAAAGTGATTGAAAAAGTAGCAAATCAAGAATGTTTGCCTTAGTTTAAAAAATAATGTAGAATATCTGTGTATGATCCTGTATTTTAATAAATGAAAATATAGTATTTTAACGTAAAGCTGACTTTTTTTCGCTGTGAAATGCTTGCAGAACATTTGTATAAATTAATAAGTCCTGTTGCAGAACATTTGAAAATATTCTGCTTCTAGGACATTAACTTAGACTTCACTAAAAATATAATACTCACATACAGGTAAAATATACATACCACTTGGGCTTGCATCATAGAGCCTTCGATTTAAATGTTTATTAGCAAATGTTTTTAGTGCAGTTTTCCCAGTACTTGATGAGTTCAGTAGCTTCTGACCACTAATAGATTTCATAGCAGCTGTGAATGGTTTTAAATAAGTTTTTTTTGCCGCATGGAGATTTGGAGTAGATTCCATTTCAGAGGGAAGTATTAAATTTGAATCAGTTACAGCTGTTGCAGTCTCCTCCTGACTAGTTATACTATTTTCTTCTTCATGAAAAGAATTTTTACTATTCTCATTTGTGCTTAAATCACAATTTATATTGTCCTCAATCTGTAATTCTTGCTCACTTTGGCATGAATTATTCAACTCTAAATCTAACTGGATATCTTTACTAACTTTGTGGTTCTGAACCATATCAAATGATGTAGTAACATATTCATTCAAGATGTTTGGTACAGCTTGGGGTGAATGAATATCAGACGCATTCAAAGTCTCTAACAATGGTATTTTACTGAACTCTGTGTTTTTTATTTCATTATTAACTAAAGACCTATCAGATGCTTCATTTTTTAGGAGGACTTCGGAAACATTTACTTGAGAAACACTTTCAGTCATATTTAAGTCTAAATTGCAATCAATTGGATTAACAGCTGTTTCATTTTCGAGGACTGATATTGGTTCTTCACCTATTTTAAAATCTGTGTCCTCTGCAAATATTAAATTACATAACATCTGTAATTTATCATTAACTACTTCAGTTGGGTTATTCCCAATATCTATGTTGCCTTCTTGATTTTGTTCAGAAGTTACAGCAGGTGCATTTTCAGTGCTTTCCTTAGATAACCCGTCCTTGTCTTCCCTGCTTGTCTCATTAGAATGTAAAAGTACCATATTAATGTCTGGCATGTCAAGTTTATATTCCATAGACAACTCGTCTTTGTTATCCCCGTCCATCTGATTACAAAGTGGATGTACAATATTAATGTCCAGCATGTCACTGTTACCTTCCATAAACAAACTGCTTTTGTTAACACTAGACATCTCATTCGAATGTATATGTACCATATTAGAGTCTGGCATATCAATTTCACCTTCCATAGATAAATTCTCATTGTTATTCCTATTTGTCTGATTAGAATTCAAATGTACCACATTAATATCTGGCATGTCATGTTTTTCAGTTTGTTTAGAGCTCTCAGACTCTTCTTTTTTCAGTATTTTACTACTTTTTCTTGAAGACTGTGAACTATTTTCATCTGACGATAAAATGGAAAAAGTAGATTTCCGTTTCTTATTGATTAGAGGAAGATTGCGGGTGTTAGAAATTAAATCAGCTGCTGTAAATATACAAGATGAAGGAAAACTCTTCTTTGCTTTTGCCTTACCAACTGGAGGAAATGACTTTCTAGATTTTTGAGGTTTTGACACAGAACTTAAATTGTTAAAACTGTCACTTTCTTGAGATTTCAATTTAATGTCACTACTTTCAGAAGGAAACTGCCCATCTTTTTCAACACCACTTAAGTTAGAACAGCAAGATAAAACATTTTGAGAATTGTCTAAATCAGAAAGTATTTCATCAACTGCACTGTTATGATTGTCATTATTGTGATTAAGTGCGGAGGTATCTGAATCAGTTTTTTTTAATGAACCTGACAATTCCTTATCAACAGAATTGAAAAAAGAATGAAAATTAATGGAAGTACTAGGACTGCATTTTCTATCAAAATATTCACATGATGATTTGGTATTGATGTTTTTCGTAGTCCCAGACGGTTTCAGGTTAGCTCTACAATTTGCTTTCTGTAAATCATCAGTCACTTTCGTTATTTTGATCTGTTTTGAAACAGCAAGACTATTTTCAGGACTAAGAGAAGATATACTTAAAGATTTATGATTGGTATTTACAGATATACTCTTATTTGATACATTATCAATGAATTTAACATCATCACTTAAAATTTCTTCTTCTGCTTTAAAACTTGAAGTTTCACTAAATAAAGGAATATTCTGACTAACATTACTGTCATTAGCAAGACTGTCAATCTTGTTATCACTTAAAAAGCTATTACTCACAATGTCTTTGGACATAGTAGCATTAGAAACTTCAGAGACGCTTAGAACTGAAGCAACATCAGTACATTTTAACTTCCTGATTTCCTTTGAAAAAGATAAAATTTTCTCAGCTTCAGTTTCATTAGGTTTAATGATATTTGTTTCCTCTAATATGGAACTGGAATCAGAAAAAGAACAATGAATATTATTTATCTCAAAGTTATTAAAATTAGTATGATGTGAAGTTAAATTTTCAAAAATAGTCAATTTTTTATCTGAATTAGCATTTACAAGAGTCAGGTTCGGTAACTCAACTTGCGACATAGAGTTTGAAGCAGTTACTTTATTGGAATTTAAAATATCAGAAACAATCGAAAAATTTAGCTGTTTTACATTAGGACTAACTGCTTTAATATCAGAGTCCAAACACACTTTATTTTCTTCAATGTGATGAGATTTTCCACCATTAAAAATAACAGAAGATTTTGAATCAGAATCAAAACTATGTTTCGATTCCGTAACAGGATAATGTGATGCTTTTGAGCATTCATCATCAGCTGATTCTTTTAAAATAGCATTATTAAACGAATTTGATTCAGATACATCAATAGACTGAAAACTAGAGTCATAATTAGTTTCAACAACATGAGCTGAAGATACTGAGTTGGAGAATTCTGCTGAGCAGGAAGTACTTATAACATTTGTTACTGAAGATTTAGAGTTAGCATTTATTTCATTATGTGTTTCAAATTCATCCAAAGATCTCAGTTTATTACTAATGAAAGAAGTGTTAATTGATGATAAATCTGCAGAGTCATTTAAATGATTAATAATGAGACTAATTTCTTTATTAGCTTTTAAAATTTCACCTGAAGCTATCTCACTTGGTATTACAGATAGCTGATTATTTAAACTATTTTTAGATGCCATTTCCTCAGATAAAGAATTTGAGACAAATTCAATTTCAGAATTAGCAAGAGTAAATTGATTAGCAATAACTGCTCCAGGATTATCATCGGAAATAAATTTTATTTCCCCAGAATCAGATATCCTTAAAGATTCATTTGAAACCATGTCTTCAGAGACATTTGCAACTTCTAAATTTGTTTTGAAATTACTGTTGTTAGAAGATGAGGATACAGAAACATAAGATTCCACATTAGATGGTGCAGATTTCAAATGACTTGAACATTTTTCACTAGAATTCACATTAGTGGGGACGATAGTATCAAGTACGGAAGAAGAAACTGGAAAACTAAAATTTTCAGCTGTTGAATTCATAACATTGGAACAATTAAAGTCTGGATTTAAGTTAATAGTAGCCGTGTTAGTTGTATCAACTGAGGAAGTACATACAGGGTAACTTAAACAAACACTATGAGTAAGTAAATTTACTTCTACATCAGTTGCCACATTGTTTTTATCATTTTTAAAGTTGGTGTTTGAATTCACATTTAATTTGTCTGATTCTTCAATAGTTACAATAGGTAATTCCACTTCTATAGCTGCAATAGGGGTCATCACACTCAAATGATTACCATCTAAATTTGTTCCATGAACAGTGGGTGCAGTTAAATCGGCAGAAGCGGTAGAAACTGGGAAACTTAATGATTGAGGAGATTTTTTTTCATGAGTAGGATGGACTAGTAATGAAGATAAATCAATATTGCAAAGTAAATCAGTAACTGAAACAGGTGCAGTATTAGATGAAATGACAGATGAAGCTCCAGAAATATCTTTAGTATAAGATTTTTCTTTTGAGTTTTTTGAAGTGATTAATTCTTCACTATTAATAAATAATGAAGTTCTTTCAGTTCTGTGTTTTTCCTCTTCTTTGAGCAAGTCATTATTTTTATAGTCAGTATCCTGAAATGCCCAAGCCTTATCAGTTTCACACTTATTGTCCACTAGAGAGTTTGGAGAGTAAGTCTCAGGGCAAAAAGTATCAGAATCGACTTTTTTTTGTTTGCTAGGCTTTAACTTTTGAGACTCTTTTTCAAATCTTCTTTTCCTTTTGGCAGCAATATATTCTACCCGCTCTTCATCAGTAACAAAAAATTTGTTAACAAAACCACCCGCTGTATAACTGAATTCAGATGATGATGTAGATGGTGGTCGCTTTGTAATTCTGGAAGGATAATAAAAATCCAAAGTTGAATTAGTTTCCTCCAAAAAGCCATCTTTGTTAGAAAGCAATTCCAGGGAACTTTTTGTAAGAGGTAAATCCTTAACATGTAAACCATTGAACTGAGAGGATTCAGGTGAATTTGGAGTTTTAGAAATGCTTTGCATGTTAAAAATATCACAAGTGCTTGCATTTTTATTCTTAGAAAACATTACCAGATTTCCTTCATGCATATTATCTTCAATTGATTTATTACACAATGCAACATCTTTCAGTTCAGTAATATTATGGTCCCCATTGTCTAATATATTATCATACTTTTCTTGCTGAGAATATTTAGATGGGTTTATGTTTTGATTCATTGATGGAACACATATGTTTATATCCAAAAAGAAATGGTATTTTCTTTTAGAAAATCAAGCAATAAGTTCTCTTTTAACAAGAAGTGATAAAATAATTGATAGAACAAAAAGCATTTACAATTAACTTCAACAAGTGTTTACTTCAGCAATTGAGAGCCAACAACAAAAGGAAGGAGACACAAGTTTAACCTATAATAAAATGAAAAAGTAATAAATTAGTTTATTTATTGACAAAATATTATTAAAAAGTACATGCAAACTAAAAGATGACAGCAATTTGTGGAACAATACACTAATCCCATGATTCTTTTACCACATTTATCATCCCCATTTTTTCACAACTGCAGTTTTTAAAATAAATTTTCTGATAAAAATATAATTATTCTAAAAAGTATAATGAATTTATCAAAGACTATCTTCTACTATTGTAAGCTACTTTTATATTACCTTTAAACTAGTCACATGACTTATGACACTATTAAAATGTTATTACTGGCAGAAAGTTTATCACTGTGACATAAAAAATTAACAAACTGTTCATGTTTCAAAAAACAAATTTTAAATGGACTTAAACTTGTCTTCTATATATATACACATTAATATTTTCATGACACTTAATGAAAAAAAAACATAATTTTTGTTTCATTTTTTTTTTAAACAAAACAAATTACATAGTTTAAAATTTAAACCACTGGCAGTTCAGCAAATGGCATAATTTGAAGAATGTTTCCCCCCCTACACACTATTTCCTTACCTAATAAAATAGAAAAACTGGTTTTGCTATGCGGAGAAAACTGCAGGTTAAAATGTGACTTTTTAACAAGCAGTACTGTCAGTGGGTTAAGGAAAAATGCAAATGAAATCTTTATCTGTTTCAAAGATGCTCAGATAGACATGAAACTTTTTTGTCTCTATGTCACAAATATTTGTCATAAGTTTTGTTTTTTAGATGAAGCTTTGTTTAGTTGAACTTTTAAGTTGAAACGTGTTTCAAAAAAAAAAAAAAACATATTTATATTTATATACTATATTTAAAAAAAAAAAAAATTTGATGTGCAAATTATTCAAAATTTTGCAAGCTTAAATCAGAGTTTAAAATCTTTTGTAAGAAAAATATAAAAATTTACACTTCTTACAAATCTTTCAAAAATCCGAATTTGTCAGCGAATCAGTCTGAGGGAAATTATTATTATAAAAATTCCGTTTAATCTAACATACATGCTACAAAATTTGCAAACATAAGGTCCTTCAATATTATACATAAAAACTTTATGTTGTTTAAAGTTTAACTGAATTTTATGCAATGATACCAAAAAAATTGAAAAAATCCTCACACAGTAAAGCTTGCATTTAAGTAACAGATTATTATTATTTACTATTGTTCGTTGCAACGTTCTATTAATTCAGCGTTTTTAATTTTTATCGGGAACAAGTGTAGAAAGTTTGAAAAAGGAGTCTCAGCAATTTCCAACATTCATCATGTTTTTTTCTTAAAATTAAAAAGGAAATTTAAATTAAAAATAATCAACAAATGCTGTAATAATCTGCAGCACATGCCGCCTTGTTGAAGTGCTTCTGCTACAGGGTAAATAGATAAAAGCAAAGTGTTTCCAAGAAAAAGAAGATGTTTTTTGCATTTAATATCTAATGCAACCATAAATGGGAAACCTTTTTCATAAAGTTTGTTCACCTTGAACCCTTGTAATGAATCCTTCTGTGACAAAATCCTTGTATTTAAGTAAGCAAAAACTAGCGTAAAGCACAAAATGCAAATTCTAGCTGTGGTGTTTTAACAGCGGAGATTTGATTGTCGCTATCAAACTCAGAGTTAATAATTTAGGATTTCACATTATGTAATTCTAATAAAATATTCATTCAAATAGACATGTGTCACATACAATTTAAATAGTGATAATTAATCAGAAATCACCCCTCAAATGGATTATGTCAGAATAGACTCTAATTACTAGTTACTTCTGGGGGTAAAGCTAGTTCTATTTCTATAGGCTATTTTTGCTAGTTATTATGTTATTACAATTTATGAAATCAATTAGACTGTAACAATTCAGCAACCTCGATTCATGGATACATTTTTCTGGATTGCTGTGCTGATGCGAACTTAGCATAGCATTTGCTTATAAGTAGTATACAAATTGTTTTAGCAAATTAACATGTTTTTTATTAATAATTTTGCGTAAACTATTAAAATAGAAAGAAAGCTTATATATTGCAAGGTAATGTAGGTTAAAACTGTAAGTAATATTCCTGATGTCTCTTATATGAACATGAACAATTCTTTCACAACAATAAACAACAGTCAACAAATGATCACATGCTAGCCATATAACAAGAGAGTAGACATGATACAATACATCCAAAGTTTTGCTGAAGGAAAGATTGCAATGCCCTTGACTTTAAAAATCACTATCCACTAAAATTAATCAGTTTTACAAAAACTGCACACAGTAACTTTTTGCATTAAATTTGCACACAGCTCTACTTTTGTATGATTTTCTCCTTAGCTACTTAAATTGTTAAGTTCCAAACTTTGCATTAAATCTGCGCATAGCTCTACTTTTGTATGATTTTCTCCTTAGCTACTTAAATTGTTAAGCTCCAAACTTTGCATTAAATTAGCACATAGCTCTACTTTTGTATGATTTCCTCCTTAGCTACTTACATTGTTAAGCTCCAAACTTTAAACTCATTTAATGCTGACCAGTTATTTACTTTTCCCAATTTTTTCATAAAATGTCAGAGGTGCATTTACAAAAGAAAATTCCAGATTGTACACTTTACCATGCATAAATAGTAAGATAATAAAACCTAAAGAAAACTAAAAATACACCAGAAGATATCTGATAATTTAAACTTTTGAAGTTCTAGTGGTTGTTCGATTATTAAATAAGATTTAGAATTAAAATATTCATAACATAGATATTGCGATTCTATTTATCGGTCCCAGCTGGTTCGAGATACAAAAATTGCTTAGTTGAACAAAATTGTTTGATATATGTTACAAACATTACGATGAGCAAATGAAATAATATCTTCCTATGTAAATAGAGCTAGCACCCAAAAATGGATACATAATCAGAATATAACGTCATGATTAAGAAGAACAACGAATGATATTATTTTTATAGTATACCATGTACCTACTACATATTTAGATGATCCCAAATATGTTAGAAAATAACATGAAGTTACAAGATGCGAATTCTGCCAATATTTCAATACAGTAAAACATTAAATTTCAGCTATACTAGTAGATTTCACAAAGTATATGATTTCTCTTGACATTAAACTGTAAATATATAATGTCTGATCAAAAGGAAAGAAATGGATAAGCGTTTTTATGATGTAAACAAAGTCTAGTTGACTTTATATTTTGTTTTTAAATAAGTCGCCATTAGCCTTGAAAACTGATAATCGATGAAGATTAAATTATCATCATTCAAGTAATAATATTTAGATATTCTTCATCTTTACTTGTAGCTTTGTTTGCGTTAAATTAGAATGCTTAAAGCACTGTTTTCACTGAGAAGAATTTGCACACTTCCGATTACGGTCGAGAAGAAAAAATGAGAACCTGATTGGTGAAAAATATTTTCCCACAAATTCCATCAATCAGGTACAATTGATCCGAAGACATGCCTGTGGCATCAGCCAGATTAACTGTAACTGTGTACTAACTGTTTAGTTTTAGTTTCAGTTTGNAAAAAATGAGAACCTGATTGGTGAAAAATATTTTCCCACAAATTCCATCAATCAGGTACAATTTTTTTTGGGGGGGAGGGGGGGGATATTGATCATTAATGCGTAAAACGCAATTAGTGAGAAGGGTGCTTAAAAACTGTTATTAGCAGACTGGTAACAATTGTTACCAGTCTGCTAATCGAGATTTCTGTACAGAGACATAGAGAGATTCTGTACATCGAGATTTCTGTAGTAGTAGTTTATTTGCGTCACACTTAAGCCGCACAATGGTATTTTGTCGATTATATAGAAACATCCCTGAGATTGATCCGAAGACATGCCCTCACAATTTTGATCCTCTCTCTGTAGGATGATGTCGGGCTCGTTTTGGCAGCTCAACGGCCAAAGGCAGGGTTGTCAAACTCAAAAGCTAACTTGGGCCAGCTAAACAATGCTTAACTTTAGGTGGGCCGCAAAAAAAATCAATGTTCATAGAAACAAATATTTTTATTTTGAATAATACATTGTAATAAACATATATAAAGTTAAATTATTGTTTACGTCCTGATACTTGACATCTCTTCTCTGCTACTATCTTTACTATTTTGGGAAGGAATTTTATTGGCCGAGACTACTTTCAAAATTGACCCAACGTGAACGTTATTAATACAGTTTCGGACAGGAGATTTATTTCTATTCTTAACAGAAAATAATTGTTCTCACTGATAAGTACTTAATTAAAATAATTCTATAATACTAAATAATTTCATATGCGAATTTTCGAGTATTTTCAAACTTTGCGGTAAATATTCGTAAAACTCAAGCCCACCCACTTTAATGAATTTTGCCTTCAAATTTGAGTCGAACTGATTCTCAATCACTTCCATTTGCATATAACTGGGTACTGAGTCTATATTTATTGAAAAAAATCGAAGAAAACAAACAAAATTTGTCTTCCAAAGAATTAATGTCTTTAAACCTTGTTTCAAAATCTGTTCTAATGCAGTATCATCTAAACTAGATTTGTTCTTGCTGCACGTTGAGAAGTGCGTTAAATCTTCATTTTTCAGTTGCCTTTCCCAAAGAAATAGTTTATATTTGAGTACTTTAATTATGTCAAACATGTTTGTAATGATCTGATCCTTGTCTTGTAACAATAAATTTAAATCGGATAAGTGTTGGGTTATACCAACCGTAAAAGATAAATCTTACAACCAATCGGAGAACAAGCTCGTATCTTGAAATTTAGTATGTAAAAACTTACATTTTTCTTCTTTCGAATCCCAGAATTGTTTGAGAACCTTGGGGCAAGATAACCAACTTACCTCGCTGTAGTAGGATAAACTTGAATATGCACTGTCCCGCAGTGGACTGATCTTTAAGACACGGTTCCCAGAAGATCACCGAAGTCAAGCATCACTGGTTACGGTCAGTGTGTGGGTGGGTGACCACTTAGATCAGTCTGCGTAGGGACCGAGGGTGTGCGGTATTGGTCCTCGTTAAACTGTGCTACCGTAAAGTGCTCGACTTCGCGCGCAGGTCGTCGGGCTACCGAAGCGGGGTGCCATCCCCTCCGCAGAGGACCAAAATTGCGATGGCAAGTCTTCGGATCATCCTCCAGGATGTTTCCCAGACCAATAGCCCATTGTGCAGCTCTAGTGCGACGCAAATTAACAACAGCAACAACAACAACAACGATATGTACTATCTAGTTGATAGCTTAATGTGAAACGGTCTCCATTTCAGCCAATTAGAATTTTACATTTTCGCTCGTACAATTTAAAATAATCCGTATAGTTTATAAATAAAGTATATTATAATTTTATATGCTGGTTTCACTTCTAATTCACATTTCCAAATTATTTTTACTTTGCCTCGGATATATTGACTGGGCCACAAAAGTATTCACCTCGTGCCACATGTGTCCCGCGGGCCGCGAGTTTGACACCCCTGGCCTAAGGCAACACCTTCTAGAAAAGAGAAGGCCTCGACGCGTGGAGCCCTTCTCAACGTAACGACATAATTTGGGCAGTGGGTGAAAATTAGAAAGATATCACTTTGGGCTACTTAGCTGCGCAGAGAGGGAAAATACGAAAGATATTAATACGTTTGGACTAATAAAGATTCAAATTTGGACTCGTTTAGACGTTTGGACTAATAAAGAATGAATAGTATAGACGTATGAACAAATAAAGAATCAATAAGTAGAAAAAATGAATCTACACTATTATAAGCAAAATATCCGTTATTTGCAGATGAGATACTCAAAAATGTTTCCTAGGAATCGTGAGATGTAGAGTACATTGATTTCTTTCATGAACGATGAACAATTAATGCGAATAGAAAGTCAAAACAGCCTATCAATTCAAGACATGGTAAAGTGATTAGCAAAATGATCTTGCTATAGAGCAATGCGACGCCTCCTCATAAAGCCACAGTAACACAACAAAAGTTACAGGTATTACACTGAAAGACAGTTGAACGTCCTCCATATAGCTTGGATTTGACACGTTCAGAATACTATTTGTTAAGGCCCCTTATAGATGCCTTAAAGGGAGAAAGATTTTCTTGCAATGATGAGATGGAAGATTTTGTGCGCAATTGGTTCACTAAGCGGTCTACACGAGGTAACACACGTAACAAAAAGTTACGCATGTTACTGCTACGTGTGTTAGAGGTACTTATGCACTTTATTTATTTATTATTTTTTTAAAATGAAAAAGTGAAATTATGTCCGCACATTTTTCAGAACCGCCGCACAACTTCAACGCCAAAATCACAAATAAAGAATTATAAGATTCAGGCTTTTTTGTAAAATTAGGTCCGTATAAGCATTAATCAGAATAATAAGAAGATAATTTTGAAACTTCTGGTTGTTGTTTTCCTATATTTCTATTTGTCATATGTTCATGTTTAAGTAAAATATTTCAACTGCATATGTCAAATTATTCTAATATGCATAAGTCCAAAATAGTGTCATTATCTGGAGCTAAAAGAATAAAAAGTCGGCAGAAAAAGAAAAATGCATCGGATCCTGCATTTCAAAGGCAAGAAAATAAAAGAATTGAATTCTTACAGAAAAACAATTAAATAAAACGTGTGTTTTTTAGAAGAAGCAGCATAGGGTCAAAGCAGCAAAAAAGGTGCGAAAATGCAAACGCAGGATAAAAGAATAGAAGAGGAACATAAGTTGAATAATGATAACAGCATATTGAATTTTAAAACACTAAAAAATAAGCTCTATTCAAGACCTCAATCATTAAGAAAAGTAGTTCGCAAATCGTTTAAAAGTTATCCTATTTTGCTGAGAAAGAAAATTGCTTTAGTATTTGTGTTAGCAAAAAGAGTTAGACTTGAACTTTCAAAACAGATTGATAATGATGCAAAACATTCATCACTAAGTATTTCATAGGAACTTAAATTACTAATAAATGAGCTTTTCTTCAGAATTGTGATTGTTCATACTATACTTTGATTGAAACAAGAGTTGGTTGTCTGGATTAGGAGAACAAAAACTTTTAATAAAGCGAAAGAACTATCTAACAATGTTTCTAAGAGAAGCTTAAGCTGCCGAGAGGCTCGACCAAAAAATGCATTGCTACTGTAAGATACCACTTAGAATCAATGCAAATATCATGAAAATTTTATTCGTTTTCTGAAAGGATAAAATCAGGTCTATGACAATACGTGGTGATGGTAAAAATATTTATGTAAATCAAATGAAAGAAATCTTGGATCTAATTGATGGAAGGGTGCATGTGATGTTTACAAAAATGGCTCATTGTTTGTTATAGGTTTCTAGCTGTCTTCTTTTGTATTTTGGTAATGTTGGGAACACGACGGCAATTGTATCATACAAAATATGATGGTAAATGTGCTGGAGGAACTTTTTGAAATTACTCTTGAAAATTGGACTAACACATTCAATAACACAGAAGAGTTAAAAGAATCCAAGCTGATGCTTTCCGAACGGACATATCTAGCAGTAAAATCCGGGTAGTTCAAGTTGACATTGCAATGGCATATTTGAGGGGAATTATAAATCGACTATGTCAACCTTCATCTATCAAAAGGTACCTCGTGATAGAATCAAGTTAACATGTCTTATATACTAGCGAATTGGTATTTAATAATTATAGTGGTAGTTACGCCACATTGCTCCCCTTCCAGAATTTTATCTATGATAGAATTCGATGAACAGATACCACTAGTTGATTCATGCTGTTTATTTAATTATATTAATTTCGTTCATTATATTTTTTCTTCATTTTTTTGTTTACAGCATTTTGCTCATTTTTTTCATTTTCGTTTTTTAACCGGGGGACTTTATTTACTTCACCTGATTTATTATTTTGTTTTTTTTAAATAGCTTTTCGCTTATTATTTCTCTCTTTTTTTCCCTTAATTTTTTGTTTATTGACCGGGAGACTTTATTTACGTCACCGGATTTTTTTAACAGTATATTTTTAAGCAAATCAACCGTTTAATGTGGATTATCCATGAATGTTGGCAAGTTCATATCACGTCCGGCTGACCAATGAGGGGAATTATAAATCTACTATGTCAACCTTCATCTATCAAAAGGTACAGAATAGGTACAAAAGGTACAAAAGGTACGTGATAGAATCAAGTTAACATGTCTTAGATACTAGTGAATTGGTATTTAATATTTATAGTGGTAGTTACGCCACATATTCTTGAGTAAATATCAGAGCAAATTTCAATCAGCATTATATTATCGAGTCTCTGTTTAATTATTTACA